GTACATACTCATCTCTGAAATAGTAGAAGGAGTATTTTTATTGAACAAACTAGAAAGTAAATCAAGGTGATTACTTAATTAAAGTGGAGTCTTGTGGCAAGATGTAAAGAACTGATGTGGAAGAAACAGAGTTAGGTCTCTCAGCAGAGAAGCAATAAGCTTTGCTCACAGTCGTTGAGTGAGTAAATTAAAATCCTTGTACATATAATAAAAATGTCTGGATCAATATAATCAACGTCGTATCTATTATTTAAAAGTAAATTAGCTTTGAGAGCAAGAGCCCAGTGAATCTTTTAAAATTACCAGAGTGGTTAAAGTTTACTTTTAATAATTTCTAAATCATACCTAATGTATTTGGAGACATATATATGTACATTATATATATATATATATATATATATTCAGTTCCATAAATATAAACACTTGTGTGAAGACTACTAGGAACTTAGGCTACAAAAATACAAATCACAATCCCTACCTTTGAACAGCTTGAGCACATTTTTTTGCTAGAATAAAGGTAGGCTGTAGTTGCCAATGCAATTTATGTTCCTCTCCACTCAAAAGAAAAAAAATGTTCTTTGATAGGCCACATTTTTTCCTTTAAAAATATGACTGAAAGAGGATAAAGAATCAGGCAAAATGTCTCTCAGGATAGTTCCTAGCATTAAGCTGAGGGTGAACTATTCCCTTACACCAGTGATTCCAAACGCAGTATACATTATTTCATAATGTATGAAAAATATATATTGTATACTCAGGAGGCAGAGAATGGGTGTAGATGATCATCATTCAAGGTTAGCAGAGGAAAAATATTAGAGATCCCAACACAACAAATAAGTTGGGTATAGTGATCTGCAATTATAAACCCAGCAACTAAGGAGATACACATAGGAGAATAGTGGTCTAAGATTAGCTCTGGACGAAACTATGAGAGTCTACTGAAAAACAGCTAAAAGTTTGGCAACATACGGCTCAAGTGGTACAGTGCCTGCTTAGCAAACGCAAAGTCATACAAGGTCAAACTTCAATAACACAAATAAGTGTAAAAAGTATTTGCATGATTAATATGAAGAAATATTTGCCAACTTTACATTAGTAAATAGTGACACTATTTACATGACCTTATTTGCATTATCACTATGCACAAATACAATCCATCTACTATGATAAGCTATAACTAATATTTGTGCAAACTAACTAGATGAAATCTTTGAACACATACTCATCATTAGAAAATATGACAAAGATTTGCTTACTTCCACTGAAATGTTAAGGTTTTCCAATCCGATTGTTGCCAAACATTCAGTGCTACCCATGAGGACTAAAATCAACCTCATCCATCAGTTCTTCACTTGTTGTAAAGCCATCATGCAGATAATTTTGCCTTTTCTGTGAGGTCCTTCATAGTACCTCCAGCATATCTTCTTTAACAGAATGATTATCTTATTTTAGTTATGATATGTTGCATTGTACACTTCAGAGAACTTCTTCCTACCCATAAAAGTGAAGAAACAATGGCTAAAAAGTGTGAGAAAAATTACAAATTGTGTCTAATCTGTCATTGGTTTGCCCCGTGTCCTACTTATAAGCGGCCAGTCATGGTATAGAGTAATGGTAAGAGAATATACATACACATAAATATATATGTATATATATGGAAGGCTAATAAATATGTTTATATATAATGATGTGCATATCTCTATTTTAAACTTTGATCGGTTAACTCATAACCATCCTACATATTTATATAGCTGACCAGCTACCCACAGCTTTCTTTTTTATTGACTCTTAGGGAGATTCGGGAGGACCTTTAATGTGCCAAGATGACAACAGCTGGGTGCTTGCTGGTGTGACCTCATTTGGGTACCAGTGTGCCAGGCCTCATCGCCCAGGGGTCTACGCCCGGGTCCCAGGCTTCACCGAATGGATACAGAGTTTCCTACACTAAGCACGTCCTAAATCAAATGTAATGTGAAGGTTGGTCACATTTCCCTATTTCCCTCTCAGGATCATGGAAACAGATTTATGAGACATAAAGTACTAAAAACCTTTATTCTTGCTTAAGTCACTGAAATGCTGGAATGGAGTGTTGTAGAGAGATAAAACGAATAAAATTAATTTTTGTAATTCAAATAACTTTATATTTTTATTTCCTTCTCCACTGTCTTTCACAGGTATTATTTTTCCTTCTTTGAAAAACGTTTCTTTCTTTTTTTTTTAACATTTTCTATTCTTTAAAGAGATATTGCTTTAAGACATACACCATATAGTTAAGAAATATAGAATCAAAGTAGGAAAAAATGTGAAATTGTTTGAAATAAAGTGCTATTAATTGTGTGGATTTAGTTTAGCTTTCTATTTTATAAAGCTCAATTGTTTTCTTACTTTGTATCCAAATGCATTGCTATTTCAATGTAAATGAAAACTTAACATTTTCATGACTCATAAACTTATTATAAGCTTTTATTTCCAACCATTGTAAACAGATTGGTTTTTCTGTTCCCCTTTAATAAAGCTAAGCAACAAACACACACAGGTGTGTATTTCACCTAAAGATATGGTCTTTCTGTAAAGATCCTGTTTACTTCCACTATTCACATTTCCCACTTATTCCAAGCTACTATTTTTTAGTCTCATAATGAAACACCCACATATTAAAAAAACAGTTCAATCATTGAGCATGTTTTTATTGGCTCTCTTATATGTTATACTGGGTATTTCTAAAATGTGAAATACGTGGGTATAGTTGGATTATCCACTAGAGCCCAAAAATGTGTAATAAATGAATTTGCTTCACTCCTTTAATCTCTTGGATTATTTCCAGAGAAATTGCCAGCTTCAATTCTGATTGTAATACAATATCTGTTGATTTGATTGGGGAAACAAAACCTCATTTATACTAAATATAATGCATACACACACACACACACACACACACACACACACACACACACACACACACTTGCAGGAGCTAATATGGCAGAAGAGTGAGGTTTAGTGGAATTGAAAGAATGGACACCCAGTACAAATTTGCCTATGGAAGAAAGGAGGCCTGAGCTCATCCTGAAAGTACTGATGACTGTTTGTGCCTGGAAGTGGGGCATTGTGGACAACCACACATGTGGCAGGTATTCTGAAAGTTCAGGGGCAAGGGTTGATTTAGAATCCTGTGTTATGGTATGAAAAGATTCCCAATGGAAACAGAGAAAGTGAAAACCTCAGGTAAAGAAGGTACATCTAGATGATGGAAGACTAAAAATGAGGAATGTACTCTTGAGACAAACATGGGAGATCCTTTTCTAATCACCTTATCCCAACAAGAGGATAACGCAGCAGGTGGTGTGTGTGTGTGTGTGTGTGTGTGTGTGTGTGTGTGTGTGTGTTTAATATTAGTACACTGATCCACATCTCATCTTCATTGCAGATTAAAACTTTTTCCTGAGAATAATAACACAACAGATGGACCCTATACAGAAGTTTATTTACCAAAGATCTACTGAAATTTGAAGAAACCTCTGGAGCAGCATCCTAACCATCCTCTAATAGAAGAACAATTATTTGATTTTCCATCATTTGTTACTTAGGGGTTTGTCATTAGTACCAGAAAATCTATTCGGACCTGTGTAATAATAATAAATAAATGAAAGGCCTCCCACCATCCCTTGGCTGCTTCTGTCTTGCAGCTGTCATAGTCCTGGGTGGCACAGACCAAACAAACAACTTAATCTTCCTTCCACTCCACCCTGACTAAAAGAAGAAATGCATGGCAGAAGCTGTGCATGGTGGGAGCTGGTAGGGCAGAGGAGATCCCCAGCAGCTGGTCTCTTCAACCCAGAAAGATGAGCAGCAAAATAGGAGGTGTGCTTTACAGACAAAGTTAAGATTATTGCAAATACTAGTTATATTGCTGCCCTTTTTTCCGAGTCTTTAGCTCTAAGGCCCACTAATGTCTCTTTTGCCTCTTAGCTTTGACAACCAATTTTAGTTAATTGCATTAATGAAAGCACTTCATTGTGCCACTGAGGATTGACAGGTTAAATTGCTCTGTTCACTCCATAATGTCAATGCTCACCATACTTAAATAGTGATATTTTCATCGCCATGTCATCATGCACTTATCATATGGTGTTTACATAAGAGACTTAGACAACACCAGGAACCATTCTTCAGAAACAAGAACTCTTTATTTGGTTACAAGGAACACAGGGACATTTAACGACTTGCGAAGAGCAAGTCCAAAGCTTCAAGAATCTAGGCAGAAAGGAGCCAAGTTTGCTGCCATGAACAAACCCTCATCGATGAATATTCCATAATCGATGACCTCTAGGCCCATGTCATATCAATTCATGTCATTCATAGTTCTTTTCGCATCCTAAAATGTCATTGTGCTGTGTTTAGATCCATGCTGATGGACCCATTCACCTTGTCCCTCCTGTAAGAACTTGGCTAAAGTCAGGTAGGGAAATCTGAGAAAAATTCCAAGTATCTATATCCATTGACAATCCCATTGTTTGGTTGGAAAGGGAGGGACCACAATGAGTCTACAACCCTCCAAGAGCGACTTGTAGTTAGTTATATAGGCCACATGTGAAGACATAACAATTTATGCTGTGTATACCACATTTTGTTCAAGATTGATTGATTAACTATTACAGCTACTAGTAAAGTTCTTTTATTACAAAATCAGTTTGGTTTTTAAACTAAAAATCATAGTAAGGCACATGTCTTGCACAATTGAAATTAGACAGTTCTTGCCTCTAAGTAAAATGTTTCAGGAGATTTATACCACAGTTAATGAAATAGCTTCTTATTTCTGAAGAAAGTTCCTAAACATTATCCTACCAAAAGCAGAAAAAGTGAGGGAAGTTGAATCATTATAGAAAAGAAAAAAAACGTTTCCTATGGTAGTACATCTGTGTGTATGAATTTAGTTGACAATAGTGATTATATTTCTTTAATCAAAACAGATGTATTGAAAAATGAAATGCCATAAAAATAAATATTAGAAGAGTCCATTTTATCAAACACTTATGCAAAGGTAAAATACTTCTGCACACTGTAGATATCAATACAATTTACATTACATTAACGACATAAATTATGAAAGGTGAAAGCAATTGAAACAACTGCTTCTAACACACATACTTCTGATGTGTTGACAGCAGTTTTGTCTGCATGGTCCATTCCATTTACTTGACGTTTGGGTGCAACCTCTAGCAAAATAAGCATGTCTCACTCCATTAATAGCACAGCATAGTTTGTAAATGAAATAATAAACATACAAAAGTTATTTTAATATTTCCCTCAAGGGGGAGCTGACAGTTCATCTTGCAAATCCTTTGAGATTTCAAGCCATTCCAAGCTTATGTTCTGATGCCATTCCTTATACTGATCCAGAATTACAAAACTACTTTTTACTTTTGGGACAAAGTCAATGAATTATTATACTTCCATGCCACTTTCCTTTCTGGTGCTCTTGGAAATCCACAGTGTAGACTGGTTTGGGCTGGTTTTGGTTCTCCCTTTACTGAAAAACATAAAAACAAGTTCAGTGGCGAAATCTTTCTTGTCACACTGTTCATTTCTTGGTATAAGTGGAGGTAATTCAGACATTTATTTATAAAAGAGTCCTTCTTTGATAGACTACTTTTCCATTCCTATAAAAAGAAATTAGAAATTATTTCAGCATATGTAAATAACAAAAATTCCTAGGAGTGACAAGAAACAAAGATGTATCTTTCTCTATTTGATACTTCTTAGTTTAGAGTTCAAATACACAGATACCATAATAAAATTGTCCATTTCTCTGACAGAAATATTTGGAAGCATACTTTTTGAGTACCCTATTGCAATCCATGTTCAATTTAATTTCAAGTCATCAAAACAAATGCTGTAATACTAAGTTTAAGTACGATGCTTCCCTGCCCTTTATGTAAGTTACCTGAACGAAGTAACTCAATTATGCCAGTCTCTGAAACCAATGTAGAGTAACTGCTGATTCAGGTTTTGGTAATTTAAGAACATCAGTTTCTCCCTTAAGTCTGAGAAACAATTTTAGTTTTGTCAGACCTGGAATTCCCACCCACATTTCTAGCCTGTTCCTGAGGTTCTGTTTCTGTTTTGAATGAGTTGTGGAAGCATCTATTTGAAATTTTACCCAAGTCATTTTTTACCAGATTACATAGCAAGGTCTAGATGCCTTTGGTCTAGTTTTCTGAGGCCAACCTATCACCTAGATGACTCTTCTGTGTCTGTGCTCATTCACTGTGTTCTGAGATTACTTTTGTCCAGAACATCTCTTCATCTCTATCAGTGTCCCAGTCCCTAAGGACATGCCTCCACTTCCCATCCTGACTTTCTGCAGACCTTCAGGACTCCTTCAAAGCAGAAGAGCGATTTCTAAACACACCTGGAGATTACATTTTCAAGGTTATTTCATGTACTCCAACTTCACTGTCTTTGGACCATAAAATACAGATTTTATAGCTTTGCAGATGTCCTCCAATAAATAGACCAACATATCCTTATGCAGCGGTTATCCAACATGAATAGAAAATCAGTCAAGTAAAGTTGATTAAAAGCCCCATCTCGTTTTAAAACTGGGAAAAATGGGTTACATGATTAATGTGGCTTGTGTATAAAATTAATATTGATTTAAAAGTGACTACTAGTTAAGGGAATAAAAGTCATTTTGAACATGACCCAGAAGGATAGAAACCATCATGTGTACCAGATTGGAATCTAAACTTTCTGCAAGGCACCCAGATGATAATGGAGTTGAATCTTTGGTGAAGTTTCTCCTTGCTTTCCTGGAAGAAAGGAAAAGGGGAGGAACTAAGAATGATGAATGAAGTACTACAGCTAAATCTGGCATCTGGAAGTGCTCGAGGCTGATTGATTTTTCTCACTCTGAAATTTTCAGCTTCTCATGGTATATTAGAGCAAGTACAAATCACGGCGGCGGTGGGGGAGAGGGGGGGCGGGGGGGGAGAACATATGGTTTTGGAAAAACCAAAGAAGCTTTAGAGAAAATAGAGTTACTAAGTAGTTTAGCACATTTTACTTTACAAATGAGAATGTCTTCATCTTATATTTTTATTTTTAGTTTTTAGTGTTTGGGTTTTTTTTTTTTAATGAAATAGGTCTCAACAACAGCCAAGCCCTTTTTGCTTTAGTTATTTTTCAGATAAGGTAATCAAATCTTGTGCACAGTTAGCTTCAAAGAAGATGTTCTGCATACATCTCCTATGTAGCTGGGATTTCAGGGAGAAATGCCTATACTCAGACATTTTGTTTTGATCTTTGGAGTCTTACTTACGTTTTTCCCTGGGCACTTTTCCCTGATCTCTTTTTTCCAAAGTGACTGACATAATAGGCATTAGCCATGATACCTATTTTAAATCATATTTTCAAATCATTTTTATCAAGTTGATTTGCTACTTACAGGGCTTACATAACAGGGAATTACCATCCAATTCTCCTTCTATATTACTGATTTCACAATGAGAAAACAATCATCTTATCCTTAAAAAAGGATAAGAAGGAAAAGAAGCCATAGGTCAAAATGGTAGAGCACTAGCTTTGAGTAAGAGTTCAGAAACAGTGTTCAAGCCCCATGATTGACCAAAAAAAAAGAATAAGTAAATCAAAATGTCTTTTGAAAAGGAAAGGATAATAAATTATTCAGTGAAGTATTTATTCTGTACAAAATATTGAAAAATAATTTTTGACAATATTGCATATTTATTAGAAAGCCAAGAGATTTCTTAACTATATCAATTTGCCAGGCTATTTTTTTTCTCTAAAACTATATATAACTATTTTTCTGGGGGTGTTGTTAGATTAGGATTTATTCCTGAAAAGAAGTTAAACTTAAGAGATTCTTCCTTGCTATAATAATTCTTACTTAAAACACTATAGAAAAGATGTAAAATTTATTCTTACAAATACCCTCACTTTAATTTAATATCTTCTGTTTTCTTTTGACATACATTTATTTTTGTTTTTAAGATGCAATTGACATACACGTAAAAAAACTTTTACTTCTCTGACTGAAGAATATGAGTAATCAGCATAAAAGCTGACAATATTCCCCAGATATCTTGTTGTTAAGATACATCATTTTATTTCAAAGTATACACTAAATCAGTAATGACTGACTTTTACCACTGTACCTTATTTACTGTTCTTAAGAGATTTTTGTGAAATAAAACAGAAGCCAGCAACTTAATCTTGAAAAAGTACTACAGGGTGTATCTATAAAAATGAAGTATTGCATTCAGCTTAATTTTCAGATTAAAAAATGTTATATACACACATATATACATACACACACACACACACACACACACACACACACACACACACATATATATATACAACAAGGATCAGTATTGTACAGACTTCTGTAGTAAGTTTATGAGCATTTGGATCCAAATCTATCACTTATGTTAGCTATAGCTAGACAAATGAAGTACCACATCTTAGCCACTATTTTCTCAGCTGAGAAAGAGAAACAGGACACCTAGTTGGTACTATACAACACGTATAATGAATGGATGGTTTTGTGAGATTGAATATACTAGATTTTCACTGATAGACATGAACTTTTTAGAGACAAATTAAAATATAGTTATTTGCATAATAATATGTTTCAGATTTCTGAAATCCTATTTGAGATGTTTCAAATTAGTGTGACAGAAATAAATTATTTACCTTTTATGTAGCATCTGGAAGCAGCAGGTCCCAAAAGCAACCAGTATCAGTAGGAGTAGTGGGATCGTTGGTATAATAACATAAATTAGATTGGGAATGATTCCTATAAATTAGAAAAGTCATAGTGTATAAAGATAGCTGAAGGAGAACTCCAACACAAAAATTACATAAGAACTTGGCCAAATATAAAGTAAAAGAGAATTATAAGTAATTGTTAGATGTCAAAGGTAGTGCCAACATACCAATGACTAATGAAATAGTAGATCCATGATTCAATAAGAAATTAAAACCAACTTTTACTTCACTGGTGGTCATGCTTAATTCAATATGCACACGTTTAATGGTGCTAATAAACTTGCAAATTAGAACTGGACTAATTTTCATATTATGTTAATCATTTTAGCAATCTCATTTCATTAATCCCTCTCATTATTATTTTGAAAACTAAGTACTTATTAATTAAGAATAGTGAGCGCTAAACTCATTATTGACTTGTTGGATAAATAATTATCCTAGTCAGAAATCTCAGTGTCATGAAGATATTCAAGTCTTTGGGATTAATCCACAATATTTACATATTAACTGATGGTGCAGTCATAACCCAGAGGTATAAGACTCCAGAGACACAAAGACATGATCTTAATTAAATTCTAAAATGAATCATGTCTTAATCCTGATCCATCAAACTTGATAATAATATATTTTTAGTAAAATTTAAAAATATCACTGCAACAGTTAAATCCCACATAGCATAAATGACTTTATTAAATATTTTTCAGTGTAATTGGAGGAAAAATATTCCTAATGTAATTTTTTACACATATCTTTAATTAAGTTAGATATTATGAATGATGTTCAAATCAGCTACCCAAACATGGAAAACAATCTTATTATTTTTCTGTCTATATGAGAAAAGAATATTGAAGAGCTATGCACAGAGCTTGAAAGTTGTGATTATATCTGATCTAATTATCTGTGGTCGAAGTGAGCCAGATACAGGTCAATAATTCACTTACCCAACTACTCCAGCCTTGGTTAACAGAGGGTGTGTTACAGAGTTAGTAATTTGTGAATATTTCTATTTTTACCTATTCTTTTGAGTTTTGTTGAATCATTTTAGAGTGTATGCAGTAATTCCTTTCAAAATTTCTGCTACCATTCTTAATTAATGAAGAAAAACAGAAAATGTTTCCTATGCTTTTGTGGATTTTTTAATCATTTGCTAATTTTGAAATAGCAAGTCTTTTGGCCCAGTCTTTACAAAGCAACTAGGATAAATAAACATCTCTATCCAACCAATGTAGGGTCATGCTGAACGGATGAGGATGGTGATGTTTTTTGACTTGCACTGGAGATTGCATTTTGTTTCTTTTTGTAGGCAGTAGTATGCTATAAGGACAGCTAGACCAAAAGCTCATACTATGCATCTTCCAAATTGTTCTGCAATAATGTCACTTAGGTAGCCTGAAATTAGTTAGAAAGGAGTGTTTATACTATGGAAATCAATCAAGGCTAACAAACAGGTTTTTTATTTGGTCTTAACCTTTATGGCAGCCAATTTCTAAACATTCTTCAGGACACTGATGTTTGCAGAACAATACTAACTATGCCAACTAACATGATGACACCTAAAAGTTGTTGAGGGACCTTGATTCAGGGTTTAATGTGGATTGGTTAGTTTAGTACCAGATATACCAATTTGAAGTTTAAAAAATCTAAAAGAGCAGATTCTTCTACTTAAAAAAAGCATAGCTCTATTCAACAGTGAATTTCTATTGGGTGGTTTTTAGAACACCACTTCCACATACCACAAGAAATATTTCATTGGGTTTGACACAAATAAGTGTTTCAAAATAGAGTTTTATATTCAGCAGAGCTAAGAAAAGTGAAAGAATTACCTGCTTCTGTAACAGCCACATGCTCAGGGGTGTCTCCTGGTTGATTTGTAAGGTAAGGCTTTTCTACAGGATCTGTTGGACTAATCTCTGTAAATAATTAGATCATAAATAATGATTAAATATGAGGAAGTGGCACTGTGGCTCAAGTGGTAGAGCACTTCCCTTGAGCTGAAGAGCTAGCTGAGGGACAGCACCCAAGCTCCAAGTTCACGCTTCATGACTGACAATAAATAAATACATACATATATACATAAATACATAAATAATTGATTAAATATGAAAAATGTCACAAATACATAAATAATTGATTAAATATGAAAAATGTCAACAATGAGATATGCTAATTGTGATTTTTTTGAAGAAACTTACACAAAAAACTGAATTAACTTTGCACAAAGTTACTTAATTATAAAGTCAATATTTAATTATGTTTGAAATTAAAAAATCAGGAATTCCTTCTTCATTTAACAATCCACAGAAGCTTATTATCAGCATGAATGACAAAAACAGACCCCAAGTTGGAGAAAGATAAGAATTTGTGAAAATAAGAATCTGAGGTGTTCAATTCAGTTCACAGATGAGAAAGATGATGAAGGTAATTTTCTCCTTGTAATATTAATCAACAAGTGACATAACAATATTATAGAACACATGTCATTGTTAGACTTGCTTTTCAGTACTGGTTATCACTTTATATAATTAAAATAAAATTTGCAACTCCTTTTTTTTGGTTTTATGAGATTAGACCACTTCAAATGACAACTCCTTAAAAGACAGACATATTTTGTACAATAATCTGGTAGTACCATACCTCATATTTCCCCCTATGGAACTATTTGTTATGTTAGTAATTGTGTTATTAAGAAAAAAAGTGGGGGACTGGGAAGGTGGCTCAGTGGTAGAGTGCTTGCCTTGCATGCATGAGGCCCTGGGTTCGATTCCTCAGTACCACATAAGCAAAAAGAAAAAAGCCGGAACTGGTGCTATGGCTCAAGTGGTAGAGCGTTAGCCTTGAGCTGAAGAGCTGAGGGACAGCGCGCAGGCCCAGAGTTGAGGCCCCAGGACTGACAAAAAAAGAAAAAGAAAAAAAGTGGGCCAGTTGTATTTACCAGGGCCTATAATCTCAGCTACTGGAGCAGGGAGGGATAGGAGGATTTGGGTTCAAGTCAGACCAAACATTACTGAGACCACAGCTCAACAAATAAGCCAGGCATCAGTATGTGGGAGATAGAAATATTAATATCATGGGTTTTTGGCCAGCTGGGCTAGGTCAAAAGAAGTCCTTTTGAATAATAAAGCAAAAAGAACTTGAGTATGAATCAAGTGGTAGAGCCCCTGCTGAGTAAGGCCCTGGGTATGTTGATTGTTTTAATTTGTTCCAAAAAATAACTGTTTACTTTTGTCACCTCATAGGTTAAAAAATTATGTGTAGCATCTTATATTTCCTATTAATATGTTGTCATAGAATTTCAGTTCATTGAAAATATAATCATACACCAATTCTATAATAATGTTTATTAGTATTTTTATATATAAAATTAACCTTGACAATTTAACAACTTCTCATAGGCTTAAGCTTCAGTCCTAACATATGCCTGTGATTCTGCAGAACTTACTTATTCTATGACTAAGTAATATATGAATAAATACTATAATACAACAAAAATCAACATTGAAATGGTTACTGTAACAATAATCTTTAAAATCTTTAATGTGATTACCAATTAAATAAAAATTTAGACACCTAATTCCACACAGGCTGTTTTTACTATCTAAGAATGTATAAGGCAATTTTAACAGCAACAAAAAAGTATCCCCATGAAAAACAAGCGTGGTAGATCCAAAGAAAAGGTATGCAGCTCCTAGGCCAGGAACCAAACAAGGAGAAGAGGAAAGGATGAAAATGGAGGTCAATTCTGAAGTGTCTGCATTGCCAGGCTAATGTTGCTGTGTTAATACATCTGATGTCATTGGTTGTACTCTTTATTAGATGAGATGTAGGCGTTCTCATCATAGGCTAGCTCCAGGAAAGCTGGAAATGGATGAAAATAATCAGGAATCTAGTTTATCTGACCAGTCAAAGTCAAGCATTCACCACAGAACCAGGAAATTCAATTAAATTTATGTCATTTACATTTTCAAAGTAGAAATAAACTTAAATAGTTGAAGATCAAAAACTAACAAGTAAAATAAAGACCAAACATTCAGGGTTATTTTAAGATAGGTAAATACAAGCTTATGTAAGCAAGATAAAAAAAAAAAAAAAAGCATGCTCACGCCTGTAATCCTATCTGTTCAGGAGGCTGAGATCAGAGAATTACAGTTCAAAGTCAGTCCTGGCAGAAAAGTGCATAAGACTCTTATCTCCAACTAAACAACAAAAAACTGAAGGTGGAGCTTTGACTCAAGTGCCAGAATGCTAGCCTTAAGCACAAAAGTTCAGGAATAGTGCCCAGGTCCAGAGCATAAGTTGCAGAACAGGCACCACACACACACACACACACACACACACACACATACATTCACTCATTCACACACAACATGTTCATGAAATATCATTTAATAAATACAGAGAATTTGGAGACTAGTGTAGAATGTAGAAAATAAAGCAAATGCCCTCACATAAGTAATAGAAGCCTAGAAAATAATACAAAATATTAAAGGATGTTTTAATGCTGACCATGTGTTCAATAGTGTGTAAGCTTGGATGTAAATTAAATAAATTAATTAAATAATAAAAATGAAAGATCAAACAGCTATCTGAAAACTATGAAGGAGATTGAAATACTGTCTACACCAGACAAAGAGGGCCGAAACTTTAAAATATCAGAGGATCTCAAGTTTTTATTATTCTAAGAGAAAAAGAAGAAAGAACATAAGTGTGAAACAGGCACTGCTTGGCCAGGATTTCAGGAGGGTAATGATGGATTTATCAACCAAAGAGATTAAAGAACAAACTCACCAGGAATATAAAAAGTTGGCTAATATACTCAAGAGCAAGATAAACATAAGACAAAGGTAAATCTAATCCAAATAATCCTTGTGAGATACAGTCTTAAGAGAAAAGGAATGGTGTAATTTTAAGAGTATAATGGAAGCAGTGGTACTTAGTTATAATTGCCTTCCATGAACACAGATTATGAGGTGAAGCAGACAGCTCTTCGTAAGTGTGATAATGGCACTTTCAAACACTGTAAAGTAGAAAAACACCCCCCTCCCAATCTCCTAGTCTGTCTCTAACTTGACTTTCTCAGAAGACAAAACTATAAGTTTACATAGTTTTGGTTAGTCCTTCTTTAATCAAATATCAATTCCGTTGAAGTGTGCTAGTAAAAGGCATTTGAACATCCTTATTTTCAATGGGTCAAGGAAATTTCCCCATTTCCTGCATTTGGCAAATATTTAGAGATTTTAGAAGAGTGACTAAGATGGTATGTTTCAATGACTGGAAATCAGAAGGGAAATATGTCACCTGCTCCAAAGGTTTTCCATTAGTGCAAAGAGCTTTGACGAATAAGCAGAACAGGTGTTTTTTATTATGTTGGCATGCCTAACGACGATCACGTTGTTGTTGCTTTGAATTTGCCAGGAATGATCTAAAGAACTGTTGCACACATGCGACACATGAACATCTTCATGTCTCTTTGGCAACGTATACCTCCTTCCCACACATTTAACTAAGCTTTAAAGATATTTTAAAGTATATATTTATGTTCTCAAATTCTTATTACCAAAACATAATTTGGTCATAATTTTAGAAATGATGATTATTTTTTCTCAAGATGTTTCTGTTTACTCCCATTGAGCTTATTGGGAAGTTTATTATAAACAATATTCTTCTGAACAATGAGTGACAGGATCACTGTTAAATAATCACTCTTCTGTAGCAGGAAAGACATAAAAAGAGCCAAAGATACTAAAGCATAAAAAAAGAAAAAGAAAAAACCCTTAGTATGAACAAATATACACAAAGTCTACTAGTGTTACTGATGGTATTTCTCACCTGGCTCGTACTTGCAGATATAGTTGTGCTTCATATTGCACCTGTCATCATTCCACTGGTAAAGGTAAGGCCCCCCAAGGCCAGGATTGGCAGTCGGCTGATGATACATCACAACACACTTTTCACTTCCACAAGAAGGTTCATCCGTGTACCAGTTTCTTCAAGTGAACAGTAACAGATATATTTAGCAGCCTGCTCTATGCTGATATCCTAGAAGGTAAGAGAACTCTCCCTGTATCCCAAGAGCACACACTGGACTCTTCTAGGTCCACACTTACCGGTACTGGGAGTTGCTTCCATCAGACCACTGATAGAGGTCTGGGCAGGCACCAGATGTCTGGCCATCTCCATTTCTCCAAAGACCAATCCAGAAATCCCCATCCGAAATCCCTGTTCCAGGTTTTGTCAGGTTTTGCAACATGCTCTCTATTAATTTTTGTTCTGCTTCATTCTCAAGACTGAGGAGGACGCCTCCCTCACTCTCGCAGGCCAGCCGGGCCTCCTGGAAGCTCACTCGGCTGGACAGCTCATGGAAGTAGGCCATTTTGTAGCAAGGATGCTTTATGTCAGCAAAACACACCTTTTGGCCTGGAATATAAATAGAAACAACACCCATATATTGATTATCAGGACAGTTTTCCTAACTCCAGTATTAATCAAGAAAAGAAAAGAATCAGTCAAAACAGAAAACACATTGTCAATAGTTGTTTTCTCAAGGGGTAATTGTGTATCGTTTTTCTGCCCCATCACTGTCAACTTGTAAAAGTAAACTGTTTCTTTGGTAAATTGGGAAGGTGAACTTTCAAACACAGTAGTTCAAGGGGATGTTGAAACTGCTAAGGGAAGTCAAAATTCTTCTGGCTTAGACTCCAAAAGACAATTATCATAGAAAAAAAAATTAGCCAAAGAAATTTCACATATGTATAGCCAAGTGAGCTAGAAAATCAAAGCTCGTGAAGATCAATGCCTTATTAAAGAAGTAATTATGAAAAGCAATTAAAGTAAAACAAAGTAGGTTTGCTTAAGGTATCCTGAAGAAGCTTCAAAGCGGAAATTTTACAGTGCAAATATATACTTTATGTATGAGTGCAAACCTATCAGAATTGAAAGGTAACTGAGACCAGAATAAATGTAAGGACAGTAATGAAAAATTAATATTGTCTCAGAAGTGTGAGGTTGAACATCTGAAGTACTATCTCTGAAAACAATCTCATTGTCATTTTCTGAATATTTTCTGTTTTTATTAAGCATACTGGGTATGAAAACTAGTACTAAGGTTCACATCCTTTCTTTGCAACTCTAATAAGTCATAATTTTCTAATAAAAACTCTCAAATTTATAGAGAATCAAATTCTTAAAAGGGAATGAATCTTAAATGTGACCAAAAAAATTACCTAATGGCCTAGAATGAAGTTGGAATGAAAACATCATGACATAAAGATCTAGTACTGGCTGAGGGCTGCCTCTATGATCATTTAGATGGAAAGAAAGGTAAGTTGAAATTTGGCCTCAACGAATCAAAAGGTAAACTTAACACACATAAGGTGGTAATAAATACTAATTAGATTTGGGCACAAACTGTCAGCCTTAGAAAATCTATTTGTTTATTGTATGTACTAAATAAGTTTTTAAACTTTCATCTAAAATAAGCTCCATTAAACTATAGATAATATGAGAATAGTAACATTTTAAGCAGAATCAGTTCTCCTAATGATTTGGTGACATAATTGCAAACATGAGTGACCTGACTGTGTCATAGTACAGCTGTGTTTATAGCAAGGCTATCACAGTAAACAGGATTTATCTAACAGCAACCGAATCCTAATTATTCTGTTTATATTAGCCCGCCTCTGCCTCCTTCTGTATAAAGCATGTACACAAAGATTGCACACAATTTCCAGAAAGTTCATGCTTTCTTGTCTTGCTTTTCCTTAGTGTCTTCTTTTGTTCAACTCTAAGCTCTCTGCCATGGACACCACCTCTTACTCCTCTTTGTCGCCAAATAGATGAATATACTTGCCACTACTTTCTTTGACTTGCATTAATGTTAGCTTAGGATTGATCTTGGAAAATAGCTACTCTGTATCTCGATTAAAAGTTAAGCAGATTGTATAATGGTAAGAATTAAGATGATGTTTGACTGGTTTGCTTCAGTTCATTTGCATGAACATCACCTTTGTTGGGTTTGAAATTCTTTGGACTACATGTTTTAATTTGTGATCTATCAAGAAAATTGTCAGTGGCAGGGGGTTGGGAGGATGGGATAAATATTGGAGAAAGTAAACTATTCAAATGTGGTTTTAATGACAGAATTAAGCCAGAGTACGATATTCCTTCCGACCTCCAGTCATTAGAGATCCTTTGTGACACATAAGAGAAAGAAGGCAGCAGAAGGCTGTTCATCGCGCCTAAGTGATAGATACTCAAGATCCTGACACAAGCTGAGAACATAAAATGGTGATTCAAGAAATGAAAGCCAGCCAGCCAGTTGTCTCTTTTGTCCCATCTACTGAGATCTGAATTCAGAGCAGGACCCCCCTCAAAAAGAGAACAAATTGGTAGAGTGGCTGAACTAATGGTTAACATCACATGTTAATAAAAATGGCCATGGAAAATGAGTTAGAGATTTGGGGGAGAACTTTTGTCATCTCCCTACAGACGTCCCACTGGTTGACTCTAAAACAAATAATACATGCTATTGAAAAAAACATTCTTATGCATTATTATGTTATTATTTCATTGTTTAAAATGGTTGTTCCCAGTGGTATTGTGACAATGCTGAAAGCCTACATTTTACCTCTGCATTTTAAAAGTGGGATCTGATTTCATTTGCACCTACTATATCCTTCATATATTTCTCAGTTTCTAAATATATCTTACTTACATTCCCCTGCATTTTCAATGTGTCCAAACTTTCAGCCTTGTGTTGGTTTCCAGCCCTTTTGAAATGATAATTTTTTCCAACAAGTTTGTTTTACAAGATGTAAAGAAGAGGTCAGTTAAAAATTAGGCAGATGTTTTAATGGATAAAATGTATTTGTTTATATAAAAACCAACACTCATTCAGAAAAGGCCTGTATGCTTTATGTGCTAAAAGTCACTGTTCATTATCTTTGATATATTAAATGATAAGTTCATCATTGATTTATCCATAGTGAGGACACAATATGGTGAATGAACTATGTATTACATTAAGACAGGAATGCAAGGAAAAGGTATAGAATAGCTTCCAATATTCTGTGGAAATTCTTCACATAAACTATTTTAATTTTTTAGAGTAATAGTAACATCAATAATGTATAGGCAGAGATCATATTTAAAATAAGTATCAATTATTAATTATATGTCCTGGACAATAGCTGACATAGGCACATGCCAAGGATATTTGGTGGTGAATAGTGGAAAGATGCACCAGTCCTGGGTGAAAGAAAGTAGACTGTGAGGGCTGCACAGAAGTGGGTGGGAACTCAACCAAATCAGGATAGCAACCGATTACTAACTGGAAGAGTCATATTAATTGCAAAGGGTATTCAATGACTATCATCTGTGTCTTTGGATCTTGAGTTGAAAAGTCACTAGCAGTTCAGATCTAGCAAGGCAGTTTCCAGGAAATTATAGATACATACTACAGAATTTATGGCTATGTATAATGAGTTAAAACTGATGATACTCTGAATTCTATTACATCTAATTCTATTTTACTACTACTTTCTCCTTTATTGTGCAAATCTGGTCTGAGTTGCAGCAAAATCAGCAGAAGCAGAAGTTATTGAACCTCTGGCTGCATTTCAGCTCATCCCATTTGGCTTCTGTCACAGTGGAACTCCAACAGCTGGGAAACAAATGTTGCTCTAATTCCCAGAAAAGTTCTGTTAATGTAGATCTTCTGGAAGCAACTTTCCCATTTCTGTAAAGGCTAATCTTTCTAGAGAGCCATTTTCATTACCTCCCTCATTGTACTGTGTGGTTACATGAAGATTTTCCCTGTGTCGTTCTTTACAATACCATATACAAATAGCATCTTCCATAGGTAAGAATTTTGAGAGCAATGTATTTATATTTTATATATTATATTATATTTTTATGTTTTATATTAGACTAGAGCTACATTTATACTCTCTAGCTATACATAACTCACTACACATTAATAGTTGAAAATATCCTTCAATTTCTGACATATCTACAAGCATTCCACTCAAATTTCTCAAAACATTGAGGAACATGAGGTCCAAGATATCTTCATACCTATTTTTCATAATTACTTAATTTTAAAAATAAAATATATTTAACTGTTCAAGTTTTCTTCTCTGAAACATTCACAATATTTTTGTTTTATACATACATGTGTGTATGTCTACATATACCTGGCTACAGACACATGTGCCTTTATTGAGAAATAATTCTTAGTAATACTAAAATATTTCAATTGCTGTCATTATTATGATAACATCCCAAGGGATTGTTTTCACTTGTTTCTTTATTGTGAAAAACTCATGTAGCAATCACATTGGCAGAGTTTTAATAACTTTGGCAATGATGTAAAAACAAGACAAACACATGCAGTAATGGCAGTTTGCTTTCTTCAATATCTTAGTGTGTGTGTGTGTATATATATATATATATATATACAATGTATCAGATGTATATTAAATATATATTCTGACTAGTCATGTCATTTAGGTGGCAAAGATTTTATTTGCTTCATACTCTAATATATATTAGCAGTATTACTGACATTAAATACCTTTTGATATATTATACAGTTTTACTTTTAGATTTCAATCTACCCTTTGTTGCCAAAAGTAAATTCTGTAGGAAAGTATTACATAGCAAATCTTCCCTAAACCAGATTAGCTAAACTTTGGGCACTTTACTATGATCCTATTAAAGAATTTTCCCATAATTCCTTTTACTCTCTTTTAAAAATCACAGTAAAATTTATGTTGAGACAATATGAATGGTAATATGACCTCTTAGAACAATGTTAATGATTTGGAATTGAAAATAAAAATGACTGCTTTTATTCTGAATTTTCAGCTTTGAATGTTCAATAGTATAAGGTCATAAAATATTTTGCTTTAAAAAAATTTCCTTTTGTTGTTATTATGGAGGTGATATACAGAGAGATTACAATTACATGAGTCAGGTATTGAGTACATTTCCTTTTATTTTTGTTTTGTTTTGTTTCATTTTTTGTCGGTCGTGGGCCTGAACTCTGGGTTTGGGTGCTGTCCCTCAGCTCTTCAGCTCAAAGCTAGTGCTCTACCACTTTAGCCACAGTGCCACTTCTGGCTTTTTCTGCATATGTGGTGCTGAGGAATCAAACCAGGGCCTCATGCATGCAAGGCAAGCACTCTACCACTGAGCCACCTTCCCAGCCCCATACATTTTCCTTTAGTACAATGTCTTCTGCTCCTGGTCCCTCCCTCCCATCTCCACCCAGGAGTCATATAATCCACTTTCATCCCTGTCCAGTGAGCTCCCTTGTTGCGCTTCTTTACTTTTTTTTCCCCTCAAAAGACATTTTTTGGGGGGTCCGGTCGTGGGGCCTGAACTCTGGGCCTGGGCACTGTCCCTCAGCTCTTCAGCTCAAGGCTAGCGCTCTACCACTTGAGCCACAGTGCCACTTCCGGCTTTTTTCTGTTTGCTTATGTGGTGCTGAGGAATCGAACCCAGGGTCTTGAGCATGCAAGGCAAGCGCTCTACCACTGAGCCACCTTCCCAGTCCCGACATTTTGTTTTAAATAAGAAAAATTTGTCATGCTAAACTTTTATTTTTGTGAAAGAAATCTTATACTGAGTAACAGAGCACATTATAGTTAGAACCCATTCTCTTGTACAGAGAAATAAAATCAAACTTGTAATCTTGGGACATCTTACGGATGATGGAGAGTGTAACTTACCCTACAACACGCACTGGGAATGTCATAGGGTTCTGAGAAGAAAGTGAGACTCAATATTTTAAAATAATAGAGAGCAAACCAAATAATAGTGTGACTTGAAGGTTCAAGTGTTTAACTAATGTCAACTGCAGATACATGAAGTAACTTGAATTTGTTCATTTCCCATACCTAAAAAGAGAGAGGTTACAGATTGACATTTATCAAGAAAGTGAAGGGCTTTTGTTTATAGTAAAACCTATGCCTTTGAGTAAATTAGGATGAAACAATAGACTAGCTAACAGATGGTGAAGAGAAGCCCTTCCAGAAAATTCAACTCAAAAAGGTTCCTTTTGCCTGTAGGGAGCCTCAGCTATGGGCATAGGCTTGCCAAACTACGTCACTCTCATCCTCTTGGCAAAAACTTCGGAGCAGGTTACACACTGACTGAGTTCAAAACTTTGAATCCTCCAAGTGATACCATGTCGTAGGTATTCTCATTCCATTGAAAAGAAAGCAGAGAAAAGCTTAGTATTGCTCCCAAAGCCACAAATACCAATGCCAGGATATAGAACTAGGCTGTCTGGCTCTGTAGTTCATTTACTCTCATTTCTGTACTTCCTCTGTATATGTCTCAAATGCATTGTAGTCGAGAAATACTTCATGAACAAAGGGACTGGTGAATACATCCAATTATCATGTTATCTGTATTACAATCAGAAGCACCAATCAGTTATTGACTAGGAGGAGGTTAATATGTAAAAGAAGTATAATACATTGAGAAATTGTTTCTAAACCAACTTTGAACATTTTCTGGCTCAAATTTAATACTGGAAACCATTTACATTAGGTTTTCAAACCTTTATATATGTCCTTGATGGTTTTTTAATCTAGCCATTTTACTTTTCCAATAAGACAAATGGTGTCTCATTTACATGTTTTCCCAAATACAAGATCTATAACAGTGGTCAAGTTGTCAGGCTGTGCTACATCATCAGTAATACATTAAAACAATGAAGAAATAACCTCACCTCCAATTTGTGCACATCTATCTACCTATGTGTGAGTTCCTGGCACAATGGTAGTTGTGAATGATCAATTATATTTCCTTCCTGAGAGAGAGAGAGAGAGAGAGAGAGAGAGAGAGGGAGAGAGAGAGAGATTTGTAAATAGAAAATATTTGTAAATAGGAATTGTGTAAATAGAAAATAGCTAGCTAGATAAATCTATCTATACAGATAGATTAAATATAGATTGATTTATACAGATAGATAATATGTAGATATTTAGATATAGACCTATCTATCTATATATATACATATAGAAAGAGAGAAATATATATAGATAGAAAAATCTTTGTAAACAGGAGAAGTTATTAGTGAATCATCAATTATTTTTCCACTTTGGATCCTGACAGACAAACCGACCGACAGACAGACAGATAGATCTTCTCTAACATCAATGTATAGGTATTGCCATCTTCAGGCAAATGTTGTAAAAACACCCTATAAAATGTTGGCAAACACTAAGGAATAATGTCTATCTGACAAATATAGTTTATTTCTGCCTGCAGATAGGATTAATTTGTTCCCTTCTTTCCTAAGAGATGCTTAAAGTAATTGCATCCTTCTTTCATAAAGGATGTTTAAAGTAATTGCGTCTGTGCTGTCATCATTTTCTGACTTTAATGATGTCATGGAATTGTTCCATAGGCTTGGATACTCTAAACAGATTTTCCTTGTGTCTCCCTTCTGTTGTGTTAATCTAGAGGTTCCTAGTTGCTGCCCAACCATTTGCAATATTCTATGTCATTTACACAATAAAAGGAGTGGTCTCGAAATCACCAAATATGTGTTATAAAATGTTGTAATAAGGATAAACTAGTAAATATTAAAATATTTAGGAGGTATACTTAATGTAATTTCCAGCATGGACAGGTACCACCATTGTATACACTACGAAAAGAAAACAGAAGAGAAAAAAAGCAAAGAAATTACTTTAAAATGATTCAAATGTTTAAAATGTCAACTGATCTTCAAACTTCTCCCCACCCCAGCTAAGAGACCTGAATTTTGAATTCTTCTTTTTCAAATTTACTCATACACTACAGGTTAAAAAAAACTTATCTTTATCTTTAAAATGTTGCCACCTACCAGTTATTTCTGGAATTAAATTATCACAGCCCCAATATGGGGCTTATTTATTTCTTACTATGTACAGATGTGGTAAAATCAAGTTCCTCAGAGAAGTTTCCCACTTAGAATTAAACTAAAAAAAAACTGTCTTAGATACTTATCCACATGTAGATAGATAAGGATAGAGATAAAGATAGTCTATTTATGCATCAAAAATACTCATTAGAAGATGCTATTAAATCTTATCGGTCATGTGATTATGTTGGCAATGTTACCTTTTGCTAAAATATTTTCCCCTTGTTTGACGTCATGTTCTGATTGTTAAAAAAGTGCATTTAAAAGTAGTAGCAATGGTCTTCCTGAATATTTAAGTATTAATTAAAAGAACTCTTATGCAGTATTATTTTGTAAGTGCCTATCTTTCCTTGGGGTAGAGAGTGAATGTTAATTTTAGTTAAATAAAAAATAAAAATTGTTGTAAATTTAATACATATAAATTTTATTTCATGGGTAATATGTTCTAGTGGATCCAAGATGCTATTTCAGTTCTGCTCAGCCACTTAAGAAGACATTTGGAAATGGCCCCTTAGTGGCATAAAAAGTTTGATGTACTACTTGGAACTTACCACCAACCATGCTAACACTGGACCTGTTAGGAAATATTTCTTCAAAGGTGTCAGGCTTTAGGCTAGTCTCTACAAAGCCCAAGATAATTGGAGTTTATCTTTTCAAAAAAATAGTCTTCAAAGTATGAAAATCACAAATCATTTTAGAAACAGTAGAATTGCAATGTGAATTCTATGATTAAAGGCAATCAAATTATTCATAAGAAAAAAACATGACTAAGTAATTACTTTAATATCAAGTAAACATCATTATTTCTGCTAAATCAAATATTTCAGGTTTAGTTCATCAGAAATTTTCCAGATGTCACCTTCAAGATGCCTGCAAATTACTAAAAGGAAAGCACAGCCAAAGATTTGGAATAATTGTACAAACAGAAAAGAGTAAACTTTTCATCAACAATGTTCTTAATTTCTGTTTTCATGTGAGGTTTTCTTTTCTCCCTTGAATTTTAAGGCATGTAAATACAAATGTACCATAAAGGTCCCTGAGTGTTTCTATTTGTTTAGAAAACACCAAGCTGTCCACTGTCCATTTGTATGGATAATTCTGATCAAGGCAGTCAGGTATGTAACCCACCCATCAATGCTGTGTTTAGAACTTGTTTTTCATTCTTAGTTAAATTAGCAAAGCTACAGCTTGTGTAATCTTGAAAAAAGTTATTAGACAGTGATTAACAGCTACCCCTTTAAGAATGACATTCTGATGATGTGGAATCCCACCAACAGCCAAAGGGAAGATCAGTAGTGATTAAGTTTAGATTCCAGCTTCTAAAGGTCTGGCTTCACAACTGATTAAGTTGCTGTCATCTGCCATCTAGCTCTATCTCAAGGGACACCTGTTGTGCAGATGTGCAAAATGTGACAAGCACACTGTGGACTTTTATATCTAAAGAAAACCATTTTACTATTAACCAGCATGTCTATTCACACACACATACACACACACACACGAACATTTTAGTGAGCATAATAGAGCTCTGTGGGAGTTCTTGTGAGCCAATATTCACATTAATCCTAGTGGTTGGGAGTCGATATCCTTAAGAGACTTCCAAAAGAGGGGAATGGTAGAGACAACGTAAGAAAGGAGACACCATAAGTTCCTGCCCAATACGACAACAAACATAAAGAAAAATCGGAGAAAGAGCTGGGACACGTGCCAATGCTCATCAATTCCCTTTGCATTGATTCCACGGATTGTTTATGTGCCCTCTCTGTATGCACGAGTTTACCAAGTTCACCTCAGCAGGGCTCTGGCTGACTTCATCTTCTGAGAGGTCTCGACAGCGGAACAGAATATGCCAAGGAAAGACCATTCCACACAAGCACCCGTCCCCTGGCGTTCTTTTCCCAAGTCCTGCTGAGAACAAAGGCATGCATCCATGCCCAGCGACCCATGGCGAACCGGTCTAGTCTCAGAAAACATCCTACAAACATGGTGCCAGGACCGACACGGAGCCAACCCCCCCCCCAGGGGGTGGGTGACAAGTCCGCAGTGCCGCTTCCATGTCTGGGCCCCTCCACCTCCTCCACCTTTATTATGATGAATAATAATTATAAAAATAACAATTATTGTTATTTGCAGGTGCCCAGCCTTGCCTTATCTTCCAAAGTGAAATGACTCCTGGCAAAGCCTATGCTGCTGTGCATTTACCAAGAGCTCCGTAGCTAACCAGACACTCGGAGAAAAAAAAGAAAATTAAACTTTTCTCTGAGTGTTTGGTAGGGCAGGAGTCACACACACCAGTGTCCCTGCCTTCCCTGGACTCCTATAGGGTTCCAAATCACCACGGAAAGTGCCCCCCACAAGTCAGGCTGCCCCTCAGCACCCCACCATCCCGCTGATCTCGTCCGGGCACCCCACACCCCCGGACTCACCGCTCACCACGCGGCGAGAGAAGGCGCCGTGGCCGCAGAGCAGCGCCGCGCCCAGCAGCAGGGAGAGCGCGGGGATCATGGTGGTGGAGAGAAGAGGAGTCAGCAGCAGGTGTCTCCTGGAGGAAGGCGGCCTGGCCTCCTCCCCCGAGCGCGCGGCTCAGTCCCTGATTCCCCTAACCCCGCAGCCTCCCGGTCTCCCCCTCGGACCCCTATGGCCTCGGCCGCACTCCTGCTGTTCCGCTTTCCTCCGGGCGCATCGCCTTCAACCAACCACCCGCTGCCAAGCGCGCTGCTCCCGCGCGCGGGTGTGCCCGGCTCCAGCGCGCAAACCCCGGGAAAGAGGGCGCAAGTGAGGGGATCCCGATCTGCATGCAACAAAACTAAAGCAGGACCTGGCCCCACCACCCCAATCCCCCTGTGCGTCTCTCCCTGGCCTCGGGGTACTTTGGGGGGCTGAGCGCCGGCGCGCTGGTAGAGGCTCTAGCGGTGGCAGCAGCAGCCGCTCTGCGCAGGAGGCGTGGTCTTATATACCCCGGGCGCAGGGCCCTCGCTAGCAATAATCGTTAACTACTTCGTTTCTCTTGCCAAGCCAAGGCCATCCAGCCCTCCCTGCAGAACAGAAAAACAGTCCAGTCAGCAGTCCCACCTCCGCCCGGCCCTCCTCCCCACCCCCACCTTCCCATCGCCAACGCACTTCAGTGCTCATTTGTGTAAAATGTGACAGCTTTGCTATTAAACTCTGGCAAAAGTTGGCGCCATTTGGTTTTCCCCAAGATAAATGTCCATGAGGTTGCCAAGTTGCGGGGCTCTCTCCTTCCCCCGCTCCCCCCCTCTCTCTCTCCCTCTCTCTCTCTCTCTCTCTCTCTCTCTCTCTCTCTCTCTCTCTCTCTCTCTCTCGCTTGAGGCTTGATCATTATGTATTGCTAGATGCAGAGCAGTAGCCACTATTGAAGATGGATTGGCAGAATGGGGGCCAAAACCTGCTCAGTGAATTATATAATGTGGCAGGTTTTCCCCCACTTAGGTTCTGAAAATAGATGATTTCCAAGCAGGTTGTTTGACTAAATTGCCACAGAAGCAAATTGAAGAGAATATTGGAAGCCTGGTTTCCCCCAACGGATTTCAATCTGCTTTTGCAATTCCACAGAAAACCATCAAGGTAAAATAAATACCTCGAATTCTCGATAATTTCTTGGACATGAAGTGTATTATTTCTTTGTACTCATCAGTCAGTCTATGGTGCACATTAGAAGCAAAACTTTTTTTAAACAGACAAGGGCACTTTTTCATAACCTGATCTGCTCTTTAATCTAACAATCTACCCAAACACAGTTGGCGTCAGTTTCCTGGAAGACTGGAAAGAAGTTCAAGAGAGTTCTTCCTCTAGCTAGACCATGATATGACTTCTGAAAATGTTTTCCATCAGCTTCGGCAGAATTAGCTTTGCTGCTTAAATGCACCAAGACTGCTTAAATTCTTTTGTCTTACTAGGTAGCACACTTTCTTCTAACATGTCTTTGGTTTTCATAAGCCATAAGGATAGTTGAAATATTCATTGGAGATTTTTCCGTGGGGAAAAAGGCAATTAATAGTGCCACAGTAAGTATGTGTTGAAGAATTGATATTTTAACACAAGGACTTTAACTAATATGAAGATGACCCTAGTCATGGTGGTAATATTCTAAATGAATTACAGTTAACTATACTTTCCCATTGTATTTATTTCCTTGTATCTTAGATAGGATTTTCCTTGCATTCTTGTAGGGTCCTGAACAATTAACCAATCTGGATTTAGTGGCAGACTGGTGAGTTTTATTACTAGCTAAATGTCCACAAGACACAGACACTGGAGGGATTTTAAGTGGAAGATGGAACGTTGTTATTCTGTCTAGGAAACCATGTTTGTGAGCATCAGTGAGAGTGTGTCCGTGGTCCAGTTTCCTTTCTACGACACAGAGAACAATGTGGAGAAAGAATCAGAATAAAGCCATGACCAGGTATAAAATTCTGCAATGGAAGAACAAATGAATAGTCTTCCACTCCCACTAGAGTAGAACAAGGAATTAATCTGGAAGTGTATTTGTGGGATTTCTCCAGCAATCAAGGTTAACTGTTCTTATTCCCCTTGGCTCATGACCTGCGTGCTCTCCTCAAATGCCTATTGAGCTAGAATTCTGGGTGATGCTTTCATGTCACCCTACTTGGAGATTCTTGAATATTCCAGAGTGATTGTGACAAAGTACATCTCAGAAAAGGAAAATCCGTTGAATAATACATAACCTCTGAATCATTTCCTCCAGTAGACCCCATGTCATGCATATCTGTAATGTGTAAAATGTGAGCAAATGCTAGAAACCATTGTTGGCAGAGAAGCATTTAGACTTCAGAAAATCTAAATGATAGTAAGTATTGTATCCTCAAAATGATATTGCTGACTTCCTAAAATATTGGTTTTGTTAAGGCGACACATTTTTATTAACTAAGACTGCTCAGAAGTGATTCCTGTAGCTCATGGATTTAGAAAAAATAGTCCCCTTTTCAATATGATGACTTTAAAAAGGACTGGGTGATGTGTCTACGTCACTCAAAAATATCTACTTGACTGAATCATAAGAGTATACAAATACAAAAATGTCAAAATGAAGCCCATTTTTGTACAATTAATAAAAAAAGTCATCTGGATGGATTATCACTAAATTTAGGTAGCCTGATCTGGGTAACTTTAAATACAGAACTTAAAAATACTATGCATTCTCTTTGGAGAGCACCAGGAAATATATGCATGTTTTATATATATATATTTATAAATGTGTATCTATACATACTTATGAGGTCTATATATGCATAGACATACTCATGTCTATATATACATATGTGTTATAAATGTGTAAAATATAATAAGGGACATAACAAAATCTTTTTATGTATATTTTTGATTATAAAGATACTGTACAGAAGAGTTACAGTTACATGAATAAGGTAATGAGTCCATTTCCTACCAAGCATTGTTACCCCCTCCTTTTTTTTCCTATTATCCCTTTCCTCTCCACCTCCCCAACTCCTCCCTCCCCCCCCCAAAAGCTGTAAAATTCATTTCAACATACTGTCTTGTACATCTCATTGTTACAATGGGTCATCCTGTATTCTTATTTCAGCATTTTGTTATTTCCCTTCCACTCCCCAAATTAGAAAAATGTATACAAAAGGTGCAGGACACCAGAATCAAATACAGTGACAACAAAATCTTTAACATGCCTGAATTCCTATATTTTACACTGCTACTGGAGTTAGCAAAAGATATTTAATTAATTTTGTTAACAAATGATTTTCATTCCTTCCTCCATCCACAGTGGATATAAATAAGGAGTTCACGGGAGGTAAATGATTTTCTAACGACAAGCACAATCTAGTTCCAAAATACACAAAGAAAATCTATGGATCATAAGGAGATCCAGGGCTTCCTGAAGGGCCAGAAGAAGACCAAGACATGTGAGGAATTGTCTGTAACTGTGTGGAGCTGGACACACATCATCTGGAAACAGGGTGTGGCAATCATTTGATCCCTCTTATGTTAATACTTTTGAAAGTAAAATGATAAAATTTTTAAATGAGAATTTCAAAGTGAATAGACTAAGAAGATCATCAATGATCCAGCATTCAAAATTTATCTCGATTGCCAAACTTTAATGGACAGGATAATCTCAAAAAGAGTAGTTCCCCCAAAACTCTCAAGAATAAGTAAGTCAGTGAAGTCCCAGAAGCTCTGAAACATCAGTATGATACAGTATGCGAAATCCTAAATTGTGAAATGTGATATCTGAGCTCTTAATAATATAGTATGGAATCTGTACATCCCAAATATATAACATCCTTCACTCTCCCTGATCATTTTCAAATGTCTGCAATTCCCAGTATGCATCTGCTTCCTCTACCCATTAATATATCTTAAGACAACCTAAATTCCAGGCATTGATTTGCAGTCGCTGGCTTCTCACTTGGATAATTTTATGGCCATGGCTTCAGCCTTAATCACAGCAGGGTTTACGCATAGATATTTCAGATCAGAAGATGATGAATATGGTCTGTAGCAAAGATTTGATACAGTGTATAAAAATACTGTAATTTTACATTAATATGACTGAGGTGTTATCAGAACCCAGTATTATTTTATCACACTTTACTTAAAGAGTTAATGATTCTCCTCATTGGAACCTAACAAAATAAATATTTAGATTGAAAATTTAATGATTAATATATATCTATTCCAGGAAATGCAAAAAATGAAAACAAAAACAAAACAACAAAAAAAGCAAACTTTCTCTTCCTTAAGTTTATTGCCTGCTTTAGGAAAGAGAACATTGAATGTACAGTTTAACACCCAAATTTTTAGAGAAGAGACTTCCTCAAAATCTATGCAAGCATTAACTGGCTGAAATGCAAGAGAAAAAAAAAACAGGAAAATTCCCTTGAAATACACATGTTCATTTGAAAATGTGTGCGCTATAGAATGTGTGACCTTCCCAATTCCGGAGCCAGTTCCACTCTTGCAATACCAGATGGCTTAGTTTTTGTAGGGCTAGATTGAGAAGCTTCATTATTCATAGTAATGGTCAAAAGTAATGAAGACTCTCACACTATAAATGTATACCTTCTTATGATTTGAAGTTTTAAGTGTAGCAAGATCTGACTATTCAAGTGGTAAGTTATACATATTTATGGATCTCTATTAATGGAAACATAATTCATCAGAACTGAAGAAATATGAGTATATGTGAACATTTAAGTATCAACTCAAGTAATTTAAAATTTCATTTTAGCATTTCTTTATTAACCTAAAATAATGTGGACTGGAGATGTGAGTCAAGTGATAGAGTGCTGACCTAGCAAGTACAGAGCTCTGAGTTCAAACACCAGTACTGCCAAAAAAAAAAAAAATCCAAAAACTAAAACTACACAATTGCTATCATTACCAATTTACTATTCATTATGTTATATCAATCTTGGCTTATTAATTACTAAATCTAGGCTTAATGTGCATGACTATAACCAAACAAGTTGAGATTGTCAATCGAAAATGGCATAAACTAAAGTTATCTTTGCTTCAAGT